TTTTTTTTTTGTCTCCTTTAATTTAAATATTATTAGGGAATGATTTTTTTTTTTCAGGTTGGATAAGAGAAGAAGAAAAAAGACTATTTTTTGGGATATTCTTTTTGGTTGAATTTGTCTTATTAATAACGGCATGTTGCTTACATTGTTATTTCGCAGGATTTTCTCATCAGCCTTTAGCAAACACAACAACAACAACAACAACAACAACAGCAACTGGACGATCTAGACATGCCTCACGAAGGGGCCGACATATTTAATGTTTGCAATTATTTTATTTGAGCAAAATCCTAATTTACTTTTCCCATTCATTCTGTCTTATTTGTAAGTATTTCGAAATATAACAATATGACTATTTAAATTAATGCGTTAATTATTTTGGTTTTATTTGATTGAACAAACTAAACGACTAAGTAATAGAAAGCATATCCGTTTGTAATTAATGTAACATTCTTGAAATTATCGAGAATTTCGATAAAGTACCTAAACAATAGAAAATTACAATTATACTGTGTAACAAAAAAACATGCCGTTTAATTAACCAAGAAACTTCCTTGACCTAATTAAGTCAATGATATATGATAACCTTAACATCCTTGAAACATTCTCGAAAACATGCCAATGGATATACGACTTCATGCACAACAAAAGATTGTAATTGTTAAATGGATTTTATCATAAAACGAAAATGCTCAAGAAGAACTACAAGGGAAAAAAAATCTTGCTTCATCTGTTACGTACAGTTGATGTTTGTTTTTTTTTTTTACTTTTTCGTCGTTCATCAAATACTTCTTTTGAATTATTTAGACATCATTAATAATGCACTATCCCATTTGTAAGTAACTTTTTTATTATGAATAACTGACACGAATAAAAGGAATGCTACCTTGAACAGTAATTATCACCATAATAATAATAATAATTAATATAAATATTAATGACAATAGTAATAGTAATAACAATAATAATAATAATAATAATAATAACAATAATAATAATAGTAATAACAGCAACAATAATAATAATAAATTGTACCAATAATTGGATTTCTTCCATTAATTTTCTTTATTCATTCCATAAATGTGTAATTAAAACATTTCATTAAAAAAAGTGGATGACTACATAAACCAGAAGGTTGAAGTGAAAGAGAACCAACACATCTTGACACATTTTGTGAGCTTCTATTCGAGAAAAAAAAAAACTGTAGGAGATTAACAAGACATTGATGACTGGTTTTTAACGAAAAACAGACACGAATAACTAAACCAACAGGAGATCTGAATATATATATAAATATATATGAAAAACAAATACATTGCAGCTTATTACAGAACGAAGTATAGTACTACAATAGCTGATTGGTGAATTTCTATTACTATAAAAAAAAGTCAGGAAAATATGATGCTAAGAAAAATGAAATGAATCAAAGGGCACAAAAATTTTACAGACGGTGGAATTATAAGGATCACTGAGTTTATCAAATATTGATAATTGAAATGGTCAAAATTTGAGGTCCATCAATATATTCAAATCCACTGTTAAAGAAGCAATGTATCTGTTATAAGGGTCGAAATAAATTCGCTCATCAATATCTTTAGTATTATTGATTTGACCATCAGTATCTTTATTATTATTGATTTTGATCAATAGATTCATTTAGCT